GACAATTGCAGATGATCATCATTTATCACGTGATTTCCAGCATCAGCCGTTTCCAGCATCAGCCGCGACAATAAATATACGCATTTTATCTTGATCTTGTTTTTAAACATCTTGATCTTGCTCTTCAACACCTTTAGCATTGTTAATATTAATGTTAGAATTAGCTGTCCTCACTAAATGCTCATTCTGCTATACATTAGTTATTTTCTTTGGTACTTTTTTCTGTGCACCATCATTGAATGCTGCTATATGTTTTTAACACTTCTGCTCTTTTGTTCGTGGTTGTAGTAGATTGTTGATTGTTTTATAATTAAACTCATCATCTAATTGCAAAACACGTTTTTCCTGTTCTGCCAATTATCCTTTCATTTCATTTATGAACTGCTGATACAATTCATAAAGCTCTTTCATATACCCTGTCTGAATTGCTAAATTCAAAGTTCTTTTCAATAGACCAAAACCCTTACTATAAAGAGCGTGATTTTTTATATGATGTTGTATTTTAGGTATAAAAACATATTGGCCATAAATTAAATTGATAAAAGAAAAGTCAACATGAACGTCATGTTCAAAAGCATCAAATTTCTCCCTACTTTGAATTGAAATCACGTGTTCATTACTATAAGAGACATGACAAAAATCAGGTGATTTTTTAGGGGGAAAGAGGTAAAAAAAGTTAAAATTATATATAAAGACCTGATTTTTTTATATTAAGAGGGGAGAGGGGTAAGCCTCTGATAAAAAATAATCAGGTGATAAATGACATTGCTCTAATCATTTTTTTGTATAGTGTGATTATTAAACCAATGTTTTGCCAGAATTCTAATATGAAATTGTGCTATTTCACTTTCTAATAAAACAGCAAAAAAGTGCTGACAAATAAAGTCACAATTCACAAGTGTCAAACATATACACAAGTGATTTGCACTACCAAAAAGAATAACGAAATAGCGCTTTTGTTAGTCAATATGTAATACGATCCAAAGTTCTTTGATATCATCAATACCATCGATGAGCTCAGTTAATTTAATAAGTATTTCATCATACAAATCTTCATTAAACATGCCTTTAGGTACATCTTAAATAAAAAAAAAATATAAATAACTCAACTAACACTTCTAATAGATCAAACCACAAATTAAAAATTTTATCAAATTTTTAATTAAAACAAATATGATTTAACCAATTAGAAGATGACCCTAAAACAACAATCAAGCTCATAACTACTTCTAGTATACTGGTTTATCAATATTTTCAACATGAGCTTGTTGTAACTCAAATTCTAAGTCTGTACGATAGACCCGATAATGAGGATATTAATTAGGGTTCCTCAAAATCAAATCAAATCAAATATTAGACTTTTTTGAATTTGATTTGATTTAAAAATCTGGATTTGAATTTGATTTGATTTAAAAAATCTGGATTTGAATTTGATTTGA